TGATGGATTTGACTGGTAACTTTTTATTCATCTGTTACTCATGTTTACCAAAATACAGCAATTGGAAATGTCAAATTTAAATACCAAGAACCACCAAGCTTCCAACATCTTCAATCTTCACGTTAAAATGTACTTATTCCTGCTACTGAAACAGTCCGCTTATATATTGCATGTTAACTTAATTGTTTCGTGTTAACAAACCTGTAAACATGATTGCTCGGACTATATTAACAAATTTAGAGACAGTATGCATCCGGTTTTAACAACTATTTTTGTATTTAGAATTCATTTAAACGACAGTTATAACCTAGTTACATCTAGACTAAGAGATCATTCAAAGGTTTATCAAAAAGCAAATGTCTGTACAATATGTTCTCAATCTTTCTAAGTCTAAAAAGTTAATTAACAAGGCTATTACAAAGCTGCTACCCTCTCTGACTTCACTGCAGAATAAACAGCAATAAGATACAACCCGAAACCTAACAGCATATAAGTTGCATGAACCAGGCCATCTGTATCAGTTTTAAATGTACACTTGCTATACAAATAGCATGGTTTATGTTCATGATTGTAAGCTGTACAATGACCTATAGTTTTTCTATCCTTTTCCTTTGGTCATCATACCGAATCTACCTATATAATATAGTTCTAGTTGCAAAAGTTCCGCTACAGCCACTGCAAGGGCTCGTCTTAAATTGCAGTGAGTTGTGGGCTTTTGTTCTTTGTTGTAGTTCTCAGTGTGACTCCGGGATTAAGAACAGCAATAAAAGTGCTGTCCTTTACTTTTGGTTTTGTCAAGAGCGTGTATAGATTAATCATTAAAAATGCATCATATCCATTCATTTCAATATCATGTTAATGAAGCAGACCAGCTTAATGTAGAGATATTAAGTGTGGTATTTTTTTAGAATTTTCTTTTCAACCAGATTCTTTAAACAAGAGACGCCTGAGTGACCGAATCGCTTATTTGGCAAAAAAAAGAAAACATTTTTATAATTTTATATCCGTTTTTTTGCGATTTTTGTTTCTTGTCGGAGAACATTAATCAACATTAAAGACATTACAATAATTTGTAGAAATAAATTTTCTCGTTCATCAATTTTGCTGTTAACAGGTTCTGTCATCCATTTTTGTCCCTTGTGACTAGCCCGTGATACTAGATTCCAATAACCCTTGGTGATTGACCTATGACACTAGAATTAAATTAGCCTTTGTGATTGGCCTGAGATACTAGAACTCAATTGCCCTGTGACACTAGATTTAACTGGGCCTATGTGATTGACCTTTGTCATTACATTTCAATGGCCCTTTGTGGTGTATCTGTGCCCCTTGATTCCAATGTCCCTTTGTGATTGGTCTATCATACTATATTTCACTCGGCCTTTAATTTTTTATCAGCCTTTGGAACTTTATTTCAGTGGACCTTTGTAATTCGACTAGTGTAACTAGATTTCTATGGCCCTTTGTGATTGGTCTGCGACACTAAACAGATATGTAGACCTTGCAAGGATCCCAAATACCAAATATAGTTATCCTATTACTCATAATAAGTGAGAAATTCAAATGACCAATAAACTGTTGACACAGAGATATTTCTCGCCTCAATGTCATTTTGATATAATTTTGCAAATGTTGAAATTAAGATAGCGATTCTTTTAACATGAAAATTATTCAAAATATTCAGAGTCAATGAACCATGAATGAAGGTAAAGGGCCAAATAATTTCCAATGAAATAAGATATGCCAATGCTAATACAACTGCGTACCAATCTACCAAATGTCATTTACTTATCATAAGTGGCCTAATCACAAACTATAAACATGTAAAATAAGCAAAAGTTTCAAAGTCGATAGACTATAACTGAGGGGGCAGGGCCAAACAATCTCTACAGAAATGAGAAGTGCCAATGCTTATACAACTACACACGAAATATCATTGATTTACCATTAATGATTCCCCTTGAACTGACCTAATCACAAACTTTAACAACTTGTTGATGCTGCCGCAAACAGCTTACCCAAGTTTTGATTTTTAGCCAGTCAAGACTTGACGGAGAGACAAAACAAGAGGGTCACGAGAGCCTGATATCGCTCACCTGTAATTTCAGTTTCAGGCATGTGACTTATTTGTAGATCTTACTTTGCTGAACAATTTTGTCATTTACACTTTCGCTCTTTCTATAACAATATTAAAGATAATACATAACCCAAAACTGTAAAATTTCCTAAAAATTAACTATTTCTGGACAGTAACCCTACAATAAGTTGTCCTATTGGTCTGAAGATTACTTGACAGGTAGATCTAAACCTGTTTAACACTTTCACCTATGTCAGTTTTGCTCTTACTGCTTTAGTTTTTGAGATGAAAGCCAAAAACTTCATTTGACCCCTATGTTCTATTTTTAGAAACTGCCGCCATGTTTTTGAATGGATCAAATCCCCGAATACAATCTATAAACTAAATACCCTAAGGAACATTCAATTAAAGTTTTTAAGTATTTGGCCAAGTAGTTTCAGAGAAGATTTTTGAAAAAGTAATTCGACTTTCACAAATTTAACAAAAAAAAGTTTTAAGGGCAATAACTCCTTAAGGGGTGAATTGACTATTTTGATAATGTTGACTTATTTTTGGAGATCTTACTTAGCTGAACATTTATTGCCATTTATACTTTCTCTCTATCTATTATAAAATTAAAGAAAATAATCAAAAACAGTAAAATTTAATAAAAATAAACTATTTCCAACAGTAACCCAACAATGGGTTGTCGAACTCGTCTGAAAATTTCATAATAGATAGATCATGACCCATTTATCACTTTATCACTTTAACTCCCTTTCACTTTTGCTGTAACTGCTGTAGTTGTTGAGATATAAGCCAAAAACTGCATTTGACCCCTATGTTCTATTTTTAGCCATGGTGGCCATGTTTGTTGATGGATCAAAACTTCTGATACAATTTATAAACTAGATACCCTAAGACACATTCAGTTAAAGTTTAAAGGGCCTGGTGAGCTAAAAACTCATGTAAGTTGAAGCATTCGCTGAACCATGAAAACGAGATCAAGGACAATGGACATATAACAGACAGAAATTTTGTAACATAATGCATCTGTATACAAGGTTTGAAACATCCAGGTCTTCTTCCCCCTAAAATATGAAGCTTTATACAAATAGTTTATGCATCCACTGTGGTTGCAGGATTTTAATCCCTATGTCTCACATTTTGCGACTTTCTTCACAGGTGAGACAAAAAATAACAACAACATGAAAAAGAATTTTGATATAACAAACATAGTTCTTACCTTTATTTACAACAGCAATATCAAAATAAGGAGATTTGGTATGATTTCTTATAAGATAACTATCCATTAAAGACCCAAGGACAAACAGGTGAACAATTGCAGGTCACCATATATACACCCTTCAATAATGAGTAAAACATATATACTGTATAGAAAATTGAAGGCCCTGATTTACAAAATGTAAAACAATACAATAGAGAATACTAATGACCTGATTTAAGCTTAAAATACTTAAATGAAAATAATTATGGCAGACTGCAACACCTTTAATACATGCTCCTTGCTTGGAACAGGTGTATCAGTGGGAACATGTTCTCGTCAGATATAATAATGGAATAATGAGTTTAAATGCCTATTGCATTATATTCTGTATTTCTTTGGCTAAAGTAACAAGCATCAAACTAGAAAGACAAATACATCCAGAAATCACCAAAGGGAGACAATTTAAATTTTCTTTGCCAAATCATGTTTTCATTAAAAAAAATTAAAGAACAGAGTTCCAATGTCCCCCCATTGCACATATTTTATCTATCCAAAGTACAAGGGCAATAACTAAAAAAAGCACTTAGTTTGTTCTTTAAAACTTTTTATTAATATCTTAGAGAAATGAAGGCTTCAGAGCAAATGCAATGTGATTTCCATTATAATCAATATTTCCAAGTGGCCTAACTCGTTCAAAATATTTGATCAGCACTTATTTTCGAAAGTGTCAAAGACATTCCTGATATAAACCTATGATATAAGTTTCAGAAAATTCTGGCAATAATTGTACACATGAGAATGCTTACAATGCAATTTTCCATATAATCAATATTTCCAAGGCCTAACTTTTTAAAATTAATTGATCGATACTGATTTTTGAACTCGTCAAAGACATTGATGATATAAACCTATAATATAAATTTCATAAAAATCTGGTAAGAATTGTACACATTAGAGTGCTCATAAGGCAATTTTCCATATAATTAATATGTCCAAGGGGCATAACTCTTTTAGAAATTATTGATCGTCACTGATTTTCAAACATGTCAAAGACATTGCTAATATAACCCTATGATTTAAGTTTCATAAAATTCTGACAAGAATTGTACACATGAGAGCGCTAACAATACAATTTTCCATATATTTAATGTTTCCAAGGGACATAACTCTTTTAAAAATAATTGATCGGCACTGATTTTCGAACTTGTCAAAGACATTACTGATATAAACCTATGATATAAGTTTCATAAAAATCTGGCAAGAATTGAACATATGAGAACGCAAACGATGCAATTTTACATATAATTAATGTTTCAAAGGGGCATAACTCTTTTAAAAATAATTGATCTGCACTGATTTTCGAATTTGTTCAAGACATTGCTAATTTAAACCTATGATATTATAAGTTTCAAAAAAATCTGGCTAGAATTGAACACATGAGAGCGCTAACAATGCAATTTTACATAATTAATGTTTCCAAGGGCACAGACAGACAGACATAGGGACGGACGCCCTGTATTTCTATGTCCCCCACAACGTGTTGCGCGGGGGACAAAAAAACATTTAAAGTAGATAAGCCATTAACATCAACATGACAGCACACCTTTGGTTGATTTAAAACTATTAAATGCCTCTTAGCAGTGCCCATGGCATATGTCATAAGAATTATTTTTTCATCAAAACAAAGTTAGAAAAAGTTAGAAACAAGACCATAAATGAAAATCTTATTTTATTTAATAAAATTATAACAAAATTATATGGCGTATATACATGCACTGATAAGTAACTGACACAAGAGAAAATGGTTCTTTAGTGTACATTAAAAGGACAAGAGATTCTAATTAATGATTATGATACCAACATTTGCTATCCTTCTGAGGAGTTAATTCCTTGGTTAGTATTTATTTAAATTTCCTAGTCATATACCATTTTCCTAAAATTGTTAATAGTAAAATTCCTTAAAATCTGATTATAAAATGTGATCATTATAAAACTGACATCTATATCCAAAAAAACTAAATCTTTTTTACATTTAATTAAGGAATGACTGTAATATTTTTTTTCTGTCTATAAAGAAATAACATCAACAATATTGTGCACACTGAATAACCCGTGTAGTGGGTTATTGAAAAGTGTACACCACATTTTTTAGGTCATTTCAAATAGACAGAAAAGATATTAGTCATTCCTTGATTAAAAGTTATTTTAAATTCCATTTTTAAGGAGTAAATCATGAAAAAAAAATGTGACGTCACGGTCACATGACAAAATTATGTCTATGAGCTGATAGACAAATACCTTTCAGCAAATAAGAAGACGTGTTACATCCAAAATTAAATTATTAGGAAATAAAATTAACAAAAAGACCCCTGATCCTTTAACCAGGTATTAGATTGATTGAAACCACATTTTTTCATGTAAAATTTGTACAAAATGTGTAATACAATAGAGTACAAAACAAAAGTATAAATAAAACCAATACAATATAATATAAGATGAAATCTTTTGAAATAGCTTTAGTAGGAATGAACATCTACCCATCAATTAAACAATGAAAAGAAGAATAGATTTGAAAATAAATACATGTACCTGCATACTTATGTATAAAATGTTGATTCCATCTAGAAAATATACACCTTCAATCTTATTTACACCAGTCAGTATTAGCATAAGGGGGAATGGTTTGATTTATCAATTTAATTATTTACAAACTATCACATGAGTATCTTTATAATGAGAAATTAGATAGAAATGTTTTCAATGTTTACCAAACCTGAAAATACAAACTTTGTTTTTTGTTTGATTTTTAATAAACTCCTTTTTTTTTTTTTTACTTTTTCATTTGTGCTCTGAATTTGTTTATTCCTGCCAAAATATAACATTTGTAGAAGAATGTTGGAGCAAAACTTCATGTACATTTTGCCAATGATATGTTTGAATAATATATTGTTATCCTTTTAAATAATATCTCAATTAAATGTGAATATTGTATGCTAAATAAGTGTATGTCTTATTCAGAAAAAAAAAAATTGTAAGTTTCCCCATGCAATGACAATGAAATGGCACTATAATTATATTGATATGTACAATACTATATATGTATATTATATACATCACTGATATGTGCAAAATCAGGATATTAGGATAAGTGTAATTTTTGGAATGGATTGCAGAAATCTGACAAAATCCACAAAACCTGTGTCCATGGATATGATGAGCTCAATGATATATGGAATGTTAAGAATTAATAATGTTCTCACAACTTAAACAAAAATATTTCACTATTTTGTAATCCCAAACCTACCCAGAACTTTACAACCAATAGAGAACAACCGTTTAAACAACCTTCTATAACAAAACTTAAAATGAATATAAAACCAATGTTTATTATTTCTTAAAATGCTCATAAAGATAAAAAGAAGTCCCAGAATTTTTTTAAAAACTCATACATCAATAAATCATGAAAATTTGAAAAAAGGTGAAAGTGCATGTCATTAAACATCTTAATTTCAAAAAATCTCAAAAGATCATTAACCATTGTTTTATAAAACAATATAATTTCTAGATTTGTAATAATTGTTCTTGTGTAAATTCATTAAAAAGTTTATGCATAATAATTTCCTCTTTTCTTCTGTCCAGCGTAGCGTAATTCCATGTCCATCTGTTCAGCCATTTCCTGTTTTCTGGCAATCATCACAACAACAAATACAATCTGTAATTATTAAATTCACTGTATCAACATATTTACATTTAAACTATAATCTATTGAAAAACTATTAAGTAGGAAAATTTCTAAAGTCAGCAGTTGATTGAATGAATGAATACTTTATTGCAGAAAGTATTAACTATGCTATACCAACAAAAATATATTTACAATTGTTTAGCTAATAGTGTTGCATGTCATGGTCTTTGATACATCTCATCAAAGCAATGAGATAAAGTATCCCATATAATAACAAATTCATTGTTTTCTGTCAGCTTTGAATTTAACTGCTGTCTCTTACACATTAAATATATACCAACTTTTCTCTCAATTATAGTTTATCATATCAATAAAGTTACTTCTTTTTCAAACTATATTGTTTTTAATTTTAAAACAACATTTTATGTACAGAATCTTTTTCTTTGCCTATTTAAACAGGATTAACCAAAAACGACAAATCCATTAGAACGTTCTTCATCTTAATGTAATATTCATACTAGAAATGATCTAGTTATTCTATAAAACATCTATAAAATTCTTATAATATTGTAGGTAAAACAAGAGAACTGTCAACTACTGCTCACTAATGATAACCTGGTACATACATAAGTATTCCATAAACCTGAAGGATTGATTGATTATTGGTGTTTAATGCCCCTTTCAGCACTTTTGGCTATGTCTTGGAAGTAAGTTTTTATTGATGGAGGAAGCCAGATTGCCTGTTGAGAACCAATGAAAAATGGCAATCCCAATCAGTTAAGATCAGTGTTGAAGGCATTTTGTCTGCTCCCTTCCGAGGTTCGAACTCACAATCTCAGTGTTGACATGCTAGTTATTGCTGTAGATGAAGTACGTAGAGCACTTGGCCACCCAGGACCAGCACTTTTAAGCCATAGTGTTACAAATGTGGCATTTAAACCCTAATTATTAACTTACATTTAAAACATTTCTCATCATCCAGAACAACCAGGTAAATACAACGAAGGATAATCGCTGAAAGAAAAAGATAGTTCTCAATTAAATGATGTGTTTATTCAATAGTCTAAGTTAACATTCTATATAATTTCTGTACAATAACATGTTTTTTCTTTTACAAATGTTTTATAGAATAGCCCTTACCTAGAACTTTGATTGACACCCCAAGCCATGCAATTTTAATTATCTCCCCTTAACTATGATGTACCAGGATCAAATTCCTTTAAGCACATCCTTCGGTAGAGTTATACAACTGTACTAAATTTTATCAGTGTTGGTCAAGTAGTTTTGAATGAGTTGCACATACTAGAGACTATATCACATATTGTATAAAGAAGTAAGTTTTCTCATTTATTTCCCCTTTATCATATAGGATCAGGATTATCTCCCCTTTAACATGTGGGATCAGGATTATCCCCCCTTTAACATACAGGATCAGGATTATTTTCCTTTACACACATTCTCAGGTATAACTTTATAACTGTTTTAAGTTTCATCACTGACTTTTAAGGAGGAGTTGCACTTTCAAGGTACATGGACAGATGGACTGGAAGACTCATTTCTACCCCTCCCACCAAAAAAAAAAACTGTGATTGGCGTATGATAATACTTAAAATACTGTAAAAAATACTTACAAATGTGTTCATTCCATAATATGAATACTCAAACACTGAAAAAGCCAACTCCACCAACATGTATGTTATAAATACACCAATGTATATCTTGTGTTGTAGCATGTACATAACAAAATGCTGAAAAATAGGTGAATGATTATTTACACTTACACAAAATATATAAATATTCTGTAAATTTCTGTTGAAGCATATAACAAATGTACAATATATATCTATTACAAACTGCTAAAAACATACGAATGTTTATAATTACAGTTTGAATAAAAAGAGATGAAAAAGCAACTAATTACAAAATTTACATAAATTGTCTATGATTGTGTAAACAAACCTACCCTGTGTCTAACTTGGATAATCATGAACAAACTGAATAGCACAATCACAACATGGAAAAATGTCAAGACAACATCACTGGCTAAAAATGCTGAAAAAAGAAAAAGAAAATATACTTCATAGTATAATCACATATATGATAAAACTACCAATGTTCCAACAAGAAGTTGCAGGCATTGTTGTGCTAAACATATCCCCAACTTGTAATTCAAAGTATAAGACAACAGGAAGTAGGTATCTAACAGATCCCAAAGTGCTTATCTAGTTCCAAGTCACCTCTGTTTTGTTGAAGAACAGACATCAAGTCAGCCAGGCGTTGCGGTCATAAAAGTTTCGAGCACGATTATTGTACTCAGACTCAGAAATCAACCAATCAAAATACTGGATTTAGTGTTTCAAGCACAAATTTTGTACTCCGAGTACTGAGTACAGTTTTATGACCGAGGACCCTGTTCATTAGAACTGAAGAAAGATGTGAAGAAAAAATATTAAGTTCATACACCACATTGAAAAATTCAAAGTACATTTTGTATTTACAAACAGGATATCTGATGGATCCAAAAAGTGCTCCACATTTTAAATAAGAAGGAAACAAATATTGTACATCGACTGAGCCTTATGTGATTAAAAACATATTTTTTTATTTTCATGAACCATTATCTTGCCTTTACATGAAATAGCTTCAACAAATAGACCACTTTCGAGTTCATCCTTCACCGGAAAAAACTCGTCAATTATGCGCGCCTTTATGACGTCGTTTACCAGATAGAGGGGATCGCCTGTATCCCTGCACTATTAACGTTCATCAAGCGTCTTAGTGATCATCATTGTGCAGGATTGACTAGAAATAATGTTTGTTTTGTAAGTACTTAATGACAATTCCCTAATGACAGTAGTGCTGATTGTCAATTATGAGAATTTGATTTGCCGAATTATTCGTGCAATATAGCATTATAGTTTTCCAGCCACTTGCTCAACATTGGAACGGAAGTGACGATACCCCTAAACGCACGAATGATGTTCACTAAAACCAGAGTTTTTGACGGAAATGCATCGAACTCGAAAGTTGTCTATTAAATCAAAATCTTTACCTTGCCAGAAATGTGTTCTCCACATAGTGCTAAATCCTCGACTGATCTGGAAGTCTGGGGAAGCTATCGCCCAAAGGTCTGCTATCCTCATGGCAAGAGCAAATGCTGTTGTGAACTGTTAAAAAATAGTTAGAAATTAACAAATCATAAAAATGGAATAAATTTAAAACAGCATAACATATATCACATGACTGGACCTGAATGAAGAGAAAAATGGTAGATGGGTCAATTTGGATGATATGTATCTTATATATATAAATGCCCTTATAAATAGTGTGTTTTTTTGTTAATCTACTGATCTAGATTTTAAAAGTGGATAGTTGACCTCAAAACTATTATTCTATGAAACAGATATTCCATTACAGTCAACCACCTCGTGATGGCGTCCGTAAAATTTATGAAGGGATGATTTCAACTTCACCACTTGGAACTATTGATTTAATAGTTTCCTTGTGAGCAGCAACCCTCTATCAAGGAAATCATGATAGGAAACACAAGCCCTGGAATATCATATCAACTGAGAGATATATAGTCTGTATGCAGGCGCTGCTGGAATATTGCTACATAGAAATGGAAAATTCACAATTGGGAAGCTGAAATCATCTCTTTTGTTGTAAAGTTTTGTTTTCAACAGACCTGGCCCTCATTGACAATTTCTAGATGTAAGTCAAGATATGAGGCAGACTTAACTGTATCTGTTGTATCCTTTATCTCAAATTTGATGGGATAGATGTGTTCAACATAGTCACCAAATTTTGAATTATTTAGTGAGAGAACATCATCTTTATAGCGGAAAGTAAAGTTAAAGGATATTGCTAACTTCTTTTATTTCTTCCTAAGAAGTTCCTGTATGAAGTCAGCCTCATACGAATAAAGGAAAATGTCAGCAAAAAGAGGAGCGCAGTTGGTTCCCATGAGAATGCTGATTGATTGTTGAAAAACTCATCCTACAAACGTAACAAATATGTTGTCAATCAAGAAATCAAGCATCTTGATAATGTCAGTTTCAGAGAATTTTTTACAAAGTACGATTCATCCCTACTAAGACAAGAAACTTGTATCCACATACTGTACATGTAAGCCATTCTTTTTTATGAACCAACGCATGGCCAACTCTGTCAATTTGTCATTTAGTTGGGAATGGGGAATACTTGTGTAAAGTGTAGAAAAGTCAAATGTTTTAATACTATTGCAAGATGAAAGGGTCTTAGATTGTATGTAATTGTACTCAAAAAGATCTTTGGAATTTTTTAGTATCTGCATCTGATTCTCTAAATCAGGAACTACTTTGGAATCAGTAATAAAACCTTTAGAGGAAGATAGTAACTCCCTAATATTATGGTTCTCTTTCAACAAAATGCAGGCAAACCCAGAAAAATTCCAGGTGATTGCCATTATTATAATAAAGGTAAAAAAACACACTCAAAATATGGTCTTCAACCTAAATGGATTCAACATAAAATGTGACGATGAGGTGAAACTTATAGGTGTAACAATAGAGTTTAAACTGTATTTCAACACTCACATTTCAAATATATGTAAAAAAGCCGCACGACAACTAAACGTACTAAAAAGAATCGGCACTCATCTCACCAGACTTTCTAAACTTACAATATACCACTCATTTATCTTGTCAAACCTCAGCTATTGTCCTCTCACATGGCACTTCTGCAGTGAACAAAACACAAAGAAAATAGAAATAAATGTGGATAGTGTCCACATGTGGACACAGATGATGCCCCCGCTTGCATAGCATATAGTTATAAAGGGACATAACTGAAGAACGGTAAAAGTGACGCTAACCAAATTTGAACTTGATCTGAGTTTTGTGGTAATAAGCATTGTGTGTAAGTCTCATAACATTTGGTTGAGGTTAACTTAAGGAGAGAACAGAAACTAAAAATTCATCAATTTTTCTATTTGTAAACACGCATAACTCTAGAAAGGTTGTGTATAAGTTTTATAACATTTGGTTGAGACAAACTAAATTTAGAGAACGGAAAGAAAAATTCAGCAATTTTATGTTTATAAAGGGACATAACTCAAGAATGGTAAAAGTGTTCTCACCAAATTTCGTACTTAATCTGTATTATGTAGTAATAAGCATTGTGTATACAGTCAGGGATATAACTCTATAGGGTTATTACAGAAAAATAACATACATTTGTTATTGTGGACTAAAAAATCAAAGAACTTTGATAACATATGTATGTTACATGTTTCAAAGGGACAATATACATCACTAGTTTAGTTAAAATGCATACAAGTTCTATTGATATTACTATTGTCTTTATGTATACTTATAACTATAGAAAGATATAACAGTTCACAGTTTGCCTATTTTGCAGTACACCTATATGTTATTACAGAAAAAATATGCCTGTAATAACTAAAGGGTGTTATCACAGCTTCTCTATATCACTCAAAAGCATTTTCTCAGACATACATCATGCTTAATTACAATGTATTTTAATTTATTGTAAGAAATAATGACCAGTGCATGTAATGAGGTTCTGCGCAAGCTTCCAAGTAATTCCCAAGTGTCTCATATAATAAGTTACATTCCTTTAATAACTAAGCTATGTTATTACAGCTAAGTTTATCCCTTAAAAGCCTCGTCTCATTGATTTACCATGGATAATCAAAAATGTATTAATTTAAATAAAAAATTAATTATCAAGGCTATGCATTTAGTTTCTGTGCAAAGTCACAAGAGTTCCCTAGAGCCCATTATAAATTATATATATTTTTGATTTATTTTACAAATAACAAACATATGTTATTGCAGATTTAGAAAATTTAAGGAATAAAGAGTAGACAACTCATGAAAGTATCTGTAATAACACACGCAAGTTATTTTCTGTTATAACCCTATAGAGTTATATCTCTGACTGGTATAAGTTTCATAACATTTGGTTGAGGCAAACTAAAGTTAGAAAACGGAAACAAAAAATTTGTACTTGATCTTAGTTTTGTGGAAATGAATATTGTGTATTAGTTTCATAATGTTTGGTTGGGGCAAACTAAAGTTAGAAAACGGAAACAAAAAATTTGTACTTGATCTTAGTTTTGTGGAAATGAATATTGTGTATTAGTTTCATAATGTTTGGTTGGGGCAAACTTAAGTTACAGAATGGAAACTAAAAATTTTGCAATCTTTCGATTTATAAAGGGGCATAACTCAATAATGGTTAAAGTGACATTACCCAAATTCAACTTGATCTGTGTTTTATCAGTGGAACTTCTGAAGTCAAAATTAAACATTGCATTGTATAAAGCATTGATTGTAGTTGATTCAACTATAATCATGAACTGGAAGATAACTCCAATTTTAAAAATAAATTGATAAAGAAGAAAATATTTTTTTTTCAATTTTTCCATTTATAAAGGGGCATAACTCTAGAACAGTAAAAGTGACGCCACCAAACTTGATCTGTGTTTTGTGGTAATAAGCATTGTGTATAAGTTTCATAACATTTGGTTGAGGCAAACTTAAGTTAGAGAATGGAAACTAAAAATTTTGTTATTTTCCAATTATAAAGGGGCATAACTCTAGAACGGTTAAAGTGACGCCACCAAAACTCAAACTTGATCTGTGTTTTGTGGTAAAATGCATTGTGTATAAGTTTCATAACATTTGGTTGATGCAAACTCAAGTTAGAGAACGGGCAAGACTCTGGAACTCCTTGCCAAATGAGGCAAGATTTGGCAAGGAGCCTATCAACTTTTTGCCAGTTCAAAAATTTTATCTCCACCTGGTGTTTTTCAGAAAGTTGTACCTGCAGTTCTTGTAAATAATGTAACTTCTTGCTGCCACATGACTTGACCTTGAAGCCTGCTGTTTGTTTTATGTTTTTATTTTTTATTTTTTGCAGTTATTTTTATTTATCATTTAGTTGCTTTGTTTATGCATTACCTGTGCTGTAGCTGCTTGCAGTCTTTTGCTTGTGCTTTATAGTGTTTAATTTTGCATGTGCTACTTGGATACACATATTGTGTGTTACATGTACTATGTGCTGATATTTGACATTTGTTTTAATATATATCTTGCTTAGCTTTTATTTTGCATGTGCTATTGTAGGATTTAATAATGTCCATGGACAATATTTACTTATTAAAATGTGTCCAGGTCACAATTTCCTATGAAAATATGTCCTCGAACATGGACATTATTTAATACTATAATTCTGTCCAGGTGGACATTTTTTCACAGGACATTATGTCCTCTAGGACATTTTTTGATATGATTAAAGTATTAAATGATATCCATTGCCTTGTTATTACTGGACATATTTTAACCTATAATTGTGAACTTTAATACATTGTTACTTTAACAAAGTGATGTCTCATTGGCACTCATACCATCCTTATCTTCCTATTTTTTTTTTTGATAAATATACATGTATATAATGATTTAAATTCAAACAAGTAAGAGATGTTGTTCAGTATTATTTTCCTTGGAGGACACAATTTAATAACAATTACTACGAAAAATTGTCCTGTAGGTGGACCATATTTCATAAACTTTTGCTGTAAAATTCTGTCCACTTAGGGGATAATATTTCATGGCAATGGACATAATTTAATACCAAAATTCTATATTTTCTTTTGCCTTCTTCTCATAATAAATATAGTAAAGTTCTTCACATTTGATTATATACTTTACACACTGCCTTCTTATTGTTCTTCTTTCATTGTCATCAGCATTAGCTGGGTATTTCTTAGAACTTTAATGTCTCTTATATTCACTTCCATCCATTATTTGTTTGTTTATATTAATCAATATCTAATCAATCATTCGGATTTTATTAAAATTTCAAGTATAATAAAACTTTTTAATGACCTTTGTATTACTTCCCTTGGAGGACACAAATAGATAGCAACTACTATGAAAACTTGTCCTGTGGGTGGACACTATTTCATAACTTTTGCAGTAAAATCTGTCCACTTGAGGAACAATATTTCATGGCAATGGACATGATTTAATACCAAAATTCTATGAAAAACTGTCCAGGTGGACACTTTTTCACAGGACACTATTTTGTCTTACACTACATGTATCTATGTATTAACATGATTACTACATGTATGTGCTGTCTGTATGTTTGTGTTGTATATGAACACATGATGAATCTGATGTTATTACATGTATGTTTTGTTTATTAATATCAGTCGGTTAAAGAGCTCTTTAAAGAGCTTATGTTCCTTGTTATTATGTATATATACAACCCGACTTTAAATAAAGATTACTTTACTTTACTTTACCTGCTCCACATTATTTCAAAAATTCAAAGATAAAGGTTTTTTGAGCCTCAGATCTTTTATATAGATATAGGAAGATGTGGTATGAGTGCCAATGAGACAACAGACTCCATCCAAGTTACAATTTATAAAAGTAAACCATTATAGGTCAAGGTACGGCCTTCAACACGGAGCATTGGCTCACATGTTCCGACTTTTTGCTGATTTGATACTAAAAGAGTTATAAATTACAATCCAAATTCAGTCTTTAAAACTCTAGCTGAACATGAAATGTTTGTTTACAATGCATAATTTGTTCAAAATTGTTGTTTTCATTTCCGGTATTCATTCAGTTCAGACAAAATGACATATTATCATCGTTTTTCATGTTAACCAACTTTTATATCTTTTCCCCAATAGTGCCACAAGGAGCATGGACGTAAGCAAACATTCCTTTACTTACAATTATAAGTATATAATACAGAAAACATGCTGTTCGAAGCTTCCAACACAAAAATCTGTTTATCAACGCCATTTTTGAACACCTGAATGGAGCGGTTTGTTTACAAATGAAGACTTCCGATTTACCTGTGTTTAGCATAAACGATTTCAACTTTTTTAACTTTTTATATATTTTTTTTTACAATTCATCTATAAATATTACTTTTAAAAATTGTAAAGAAAGTATTGTGCAATGAAGAATATATATGATATCCAAGTATTACATGTAAGGTAAAGATTCAAAATAGTTGGTCGAAATTAATGACTTCTCCCTCAGGTGAGTCAATTTCAAGAAGTATCAGCTTTTTATAAAAGCTTGACCAAGTTAGAAATTGGTGATTGACGCGTCAGATAAATTATGCCACTGTGAGAGTGTTTCACAAAAATATAGGATCATTGAAGGGCACCAGACTGTAGTAATACCATACACAGATTTATAATCTGAACAGAACAGAATAGAATAGAATAGAATATATAGTGTGTTACTGATCTCAGTAACCGACATGATAAACACTTAGAAATGCAAACAAGATCTATGAGGGAAAATTTGGTGTTTACTGGATTACCCCTGACCAATGATACAGAGGATACGGAGGACATAATCAAACAATTCATGAGAAATGAGATGAAAATGGATTCAGTGGTTGAGTTTCATAGGGCACACAGATTTGGAAAGGAATCTTTGTAAAAGACAGTCAAAATCGAAATTTGTACACTACTAGACCGATAGTTTGTCGTTTCAAAAGTTTCAAAGACAGAGAGCTAGTACGATACGCAGCTTCAGCGTTGAAAGGGACCCGTTTCGGAGTGAATTGAACAATATCCAAAAGAAATAAATGACAGGAGAAAGTTACTGTGGCCCTACTTCAAAGAAGCCAAAAGTCAAAAACGGAAAGTTCACCTAAAAAAAGATCGGTTATTTATTGACGGGGCTGAATTCATCCCACCCGACAAAAAACGACGAGGTAAGAATGGAGACAAATGAAAGACAATTATATATTGGACGAGGGGCACGCCCGAAAACTACCACCTATGGTCCAAATAACCAAACAAGAAACACTGGTCGGGACCCCCGTAAATTGCAAACCCATAGTTAAAGAGGTCAAGGAGGATTAAAGGACAGCTATTGTCAACCGAAGTTCTCGAGTGGAACAGATTTTCACCGTAGTAAAAGTGTTAATACTATTCACATTGACTTTAATTCTAAAGAAAACAATAAATTACAATTATTGATACTATCAATTCAATTCTTTATTACTTTAAGCACATTATGCTTATCAGTTCAATAAATATAAATACATTTCTATAACACAACATGACATAATACATCAGAGAAGCAAATAAATATCAAGTATTGACCAATAACAGTTTGGTCCTATGATTAAATGCATTAAACAAGAATTTACACAAATTACGCAAATCTTTTACATTTTCAGTGCTGAGAAGTTGCACTAATTTGAACGACGATGGACGTCTATAATAATAAGGTTAAATAAACTGTCTCCTTAAGTCTCTATAGCATTCACATTGTAAAACAAAATGGAATTCATCTTCAGTGATATTCAAAGTACAAAGAGTACACTTTCTATCTAACCTATTTACTCCATGATAACGGCCTACTTCAACAAACAAATTATGAGATGACAATCTAAGGCGAGTTAAATACACTCTAAAATTCATATGTTTGGTTAGATAATTCTGTAAACATACATTATTGACAATATATTTATATAAATAACACTTAGATGAAACGTTCAGTTGATCATTCATAGTCTGTTTTGCTTGATCATATATCCTTGTTTTTACAAATAATAATAAATTTGTATCAATAATCAAATTGTCTTGATTATACCAGATCTCATTTAAACCTAAGTTAAATAATAATTGTTGTAGTTGATAAATCCAACTGCTTCTAATATTACAAAAATTATACAGTTGTTCCCTGTAGCAGTTTTTAAGAATACAGTTGCTTGTGGATAACAATTTTAACCAGTACTTCACTATTTTGTACATTCTAAAATATATCAAAGGATATCTACCCAATTCAAAATAAACCATAACATTTGTTGTACATTGTTTGACACCTAATATGTTTTTGCAAAAATCAAGTTGTATTTTTCAATATTTGGAGCTTTATGGAAGCCCCATATTTCACAACCATAACATAAAATACTGCTAATGTAAGTATCAAATAAATTCAAATATGTAAAAACATTCAAATACAATGACGAAACCTTCGACTTTAAACCAAAAACAGCTTTTCTACTTTGCTCAGCTAAATGTTTTGAGCTTTAACAAATTTACCGTTAAAATTTAACAGTACACCAAGGTAACAAAATTCATCCACTATGTCAATAGTATTGCCATCATAATACCAAATTTCTTCGTCTTTTACAAAACCTCCGTTTTTAAATACCATAATTTTTGTTTTGGCAATATTTACAGTCAAACCCCATTTACAAGTATATAATAATAATGTGTCTAACATATCTTGCAAGCCAATAACTGAATCAGAAAATAAAATCATATCATCAGCATACATAAGTAAAAACAATGACAAGTCTTGCACTTCATATGGTATATTACTATTACGTAGAAATTCCATTTCAAAGTCATTTACATATAACGAAAATAGTATAGGAGAAAGAACTTCCCCTTGCATAAGACCAACTGAACTTGTAAACTGCTCAGAATAAAAACCATCAACTTTCACACATACTTTTACTGTAGAATACATTGATTTTAAAACAGACAGTAATTTGCCTGTTATACCAACTCTTGATAGTTTCAACCATAAGTTAAGTCTGGTTACGGAGTCAAATGCCTGTTTGTAGTCAACGAAACAGCAATACAAACGTTTTTTCTTGAAAAGTGCTTTCTGAACGAGTGTCAACAAAGAATAAATTGCATCAACAGTGCTGCTACCCGGGCGAAATCCAAATTGCGCATCTGTAATAATATCATTATTCTCAGACCATTTTATTAGTCTTGAATTTATAATAGATGTAAACAGTTTCGCTAAATTACTGACTAAACTGATTCCACGATAGTTCGCTGGATCGGACGAGTCGCCTTTTTTAAAAACAGGAATTAACACTGCGAGTGCCCAAGATTTCGGAAAATGTCCTGATGCTAATATCTTATTGAATATTTCCTCTAGGAATGGTAGCAGAATATCCTTAAATTCAATGAATAACTCGTTAAATGTACCATCAATACCATGACTTTTACCACGTTTAAGGTTAGAAATACACTTCAAAATTTCATCTTGTGTAATAGTTTGATCAAGTTCATCATATGTTGTGTCGGAAACGGTCTCTGGAGTATCGACTGTCACATTAATACCATCATTTGTGACCAAATTTCTAAAATGTTCGAAGAATTCTGAAAGTGACACATCAGAAGTTTTGGCTCTCTTCTTTTGAAACAGTTTATAATATTTCTTTGGGTCGCTTTTACGCAATGTAGCTATCATATCACCCTCTTGACGCTTATATTTTCGTTTTAGTTTATTTTCTAAACGCTTGTATTGTCTTTTAGACATAAGTAATATTTGATGATTTTCAACATTTTTGTCTCTATTAAATGTATACAAAGAACTAATATAGATAGATCGAAGTCTTTTGCACTCGTAGTTAAACCATGGTTTGTCATCTTTATATCGGGTCGTCTTACTACGGGTACGGTCACACGTATTATTTGAATTATGTGAGTTACAAAAGAATGGTGAAATAATGCCCATCAAATTGGAAGTAAACGATTCAACATAATTGTCAATACCATCTTGGGATTTTTCAATATCAGAAAATACTATCTGGCTAAGTGAACCACTGTTTAAAGTTAAAGACTCATAACACTGATCTTTTAGCTCTTCCTTCCATCGGAAACTATTATATGAGTTGTTTGACGTATCACTATTACGCCCGGGCTCTTGTGAATCGTGCAATATGCACCGCAAGCGAACATGTAAAGGCGCGTGGTCACTAAAAGAAGTGAAGTTACAAACAATAAACTGGTCTATAATGTGTAAAAAGTCATATGGAGCCAATAAGTAGTCCACAACACTCATTCCTCGGGAACCACAAAATGTATAGTCATTAGCTAAGCCATCCTTATGCCGACCGTTCAAAATACGTAGACCAGTGCTTCTACACAGATTTAACAATTTTAACCCGAACTCATTAGTACTTTGATCTGGATTTCTTCTTACTGGTAGATTTGTGTCACTTAAATACCCAAAAATATGGTTGAAACTATCAAAAATTGGGCCACATACATTGTCATTTATTATAAAATCATTAACTATAGCAGTTCTTGCGTTCATATCACCTAGTAAAAATACTCTTGACGTTTCTGATGAATATTTTTCAACAGAATTTAACAAATCATAGAATAAATCACAGTTATACATTTTATAATAATTTGAATAGGCAGGAGGCAAATATACACATCCAATAAAATAATCAAACCCAAAACTAAATGTATGTGGTTTAAAATCCAAACTTGTATATATCCAGAACTTAGAAATTTATAACAAGACCATGATAGTGTTTGTTTCTCAGAGACCAAATTAGATGACTTAGATGATATATCATTGGAAAACTTCACTTTTTATTGTAAAAATAGAAAGAAAAAAAATCTCAAATTATAGATCAGGTGGTTTAGCTTTTGGACATAAAAGTGTTTTTAAAAATTATATCACTCCGATAGATACAAATTGTCCTTTTGTCTTTTGGATTAAAATTTGTAAGAAATTAGTACAGCTACCACAAGATCTAATATGTGGTGTGATCTATATTCCACCTATTAATACATTATATACAGCAGATAATGCTATATCTGAGATAGAGATAGAATTGCATAATATGTATAAAGATTCACAATATGTCTGCTTATTTGGCGATTTTAATAGCCGAACTGGTACCTTAGCTGATTATTATGATATGGATGATTTTGATGATACATTTGTGAATGAATTGATTGATTATAATGAGTTCTCTGAAAAAGGCATTTTAGAAGACCTTGGTATACCGAGGAAAAGAAACTCTCAAGATCAAACAGAAAATACATATGGCAGAAAACTTATTAGTTTTTGTAAAAATAATAACATATGTATATTGAACGGTCGATTTTTATCTGACAAAGTTGGTAAGCCAACAAGTCGTAACTCAAGCGTAGTTGACTACGTATTGGGCTCTGCAAATATGTTTCACAAAATTGTTGATTTTGAAATTATGCAATTTAGCAATTTATATTCGGATATTCATACGCCAATCTTTTTACAACTAGATTGCAATGTAAAATCGGACATGCTAAAAGTCAATACACATGTATTAGAAATAATGACAAATACATAGGTAAATGGAAACATGAAAAGAGTACTGATTTTACAAGAAACATAAACAGAGATGAGGTTAATGAATTATTGTCACATATCTTAGAAATACATGATGATATTAGTAAAGTGGATCAAAGTAGTGTAAATGAAATTGTTACCAATGTTACTAAGATTTTGCTTGATTCAGCAGAAAAAACTTTTGGTGTATTTACGAAAGATTGTAGTAATTCAAAAGAAGATTATAACAATAAAGAATGGTTTAATCACGATTGTAAAAATAGTAGAAAAGATTATAGAAAGTCATTAAGATTGTATAAACATTATGGGTTTAATATTTTCATAGTTAGACCACGAAATAGTGAAAAAAATATATAAAAAAACTATGAATGATAGCATTCGTCTCTTTAATCATGATTTGAAGAAGAAAATGAAAGAATTACGTAAGAAAAATCCATGTGATTTTTGGAAAATTTTCAATAAGTTTAAACGTACAGTGAATAATGACATTGATATCAAACAGTTTTTTTTTTTTAAAGAATTGAATAAAGATAATCTTAATTAAAGAACCTGAGTGAGCGCGCTCACATACCCCACGTCACCACTGGAGAAATAAAATAACAGTAAGAAAAAAAAATTGTATAAGAAAAAAAAATTGAATCATAATTTCCTGTCGATATGCACATCTACATAGTATGTCCTTATTATCTAAAAAGGTTTCATGAAATTCTGTTGTCTGGTTTCAGAGGAGTTGCGATGACAAACTGTTGCAGTAGTATATTGAAGCAAATAAGTTCAAAGGGGCGTAACTCCTAGAAAAAAAAATTGAATCGTAATTTCTTGTCGATATGCACATCTACGTAGTATGTCCTTATTATCTGAAATGGTTTCATGAAATTCTGTTGTGTGGTTTGAGAGGAGTTGCGATGACAAGAAACAGGACTGACGGACTGACGGACGGACAGACGGAAGGACGGACGGGTCAAAAACATTATACCCTCCGCAACTCGTTGCGTGGGGTATAAAAATATCTGCCTTCATAAAATCATTCTATCTGTAAAAATATCAGCCTTCATAAATCATTCTATCTGTAAAAATATCTGCCTATCTACAGTTACGTACCACAGATTCATCGTCAGATGGTTTTTGTGTTAGTTCCTGAGTCAACAGATCTATTTTCCTTTCCTTATCTTCTATTTCTTTTACTTTTTCTTCTAACACAGCTTGAACCATGTCATAATCTTCTTGAAACTTTGTCTGTAAGAAAGAAGCATCATATTCAAATTACACATATTTACCTCAAGTGCAAGAGGTTGTGGATTCAACTCCAAGCAAAACTAAAGACTGTGAAAGTAGTATTGACTTCTCCTTTAAGCATGAAACTTAATGTACATGTATCTGACTGGAATAAAATGCCTTCTGTAGACTTTTATGTTAATAGCAAGTGAAAAGCATGTTCAGCATTTTGATCTAGCATAAAGCATGCTTTATATTTTTACATCAACTTTTCATCAAATTTGTTGTTCAAAAAATACCTGCTGTCCATCCACCCATATAGAGAACATTTCTGATAAATAATCATTTAAAAAAAATATATCATCCAGTAGCTGTTCTGCATATACCCCCATCCCTCTTCCAAAAAAACCCAAACAAACAAATTTTATTAACCTCTCTTTATATTTTATTCATCATAAAACAATATACATTAGATATTTTTATCTTGAAAAGTGATCAGTGACTTATTAAAAAATTTGGTTATACAGTTACTATTTTTACAATTTTTTCTCAACTCTGCCGTACAAAAAAAATCTGCATTTTTAGACGAACTAGTACATTTGATTGTTGGAAATAAAAGAATTGCAATATCATACCTTTAACCCATTTCTCTGACGTCATTCTATTGTTCTTACAGTGGATTATTTTTCAAGAATCCACTGACTACTTCGTTAACTTAAGATAACTTATTTTATAACTTTAAACTTTTAACTTACGATTTTTTATCCTCTCAAAAACGAGTGGCATATGAAGGGTTCGAACTCGCGCGTATTTTCTTCATAACCAGTAGAGTCTTCAGTCTATGCATGATACCACTATACCACGAGTGCTCACATAAATCATTATTTAAATAACACTCTTAAAGCGCACAACTGTCAATACATGTCAATAAACTGTATTTCTATCTCAGAGATAATTCGCTTTTGTTATCTAACAAAATATATATACTATGTCTGGATTTGTTCATGTTCTTTTCAAATTTATTTATATCACGTCAACATTGAACGGACTCTAATTTGAGTAAAGTGTGATATATAAGCTACTTCTTTGGCTGTAAAACCAGAAACAAAATCATCGCCTTTACATGAAAATGAAGTATATAATACCTCTAAGATTAAAACTATTTTTATCGAGAAAAAAATTACAATGAAAAATTTTTATTCCGGATACAAGGTTCGAACTTTGCACTGTTAATATCACCGTTATGACATTCGTTACCAACGACTAGACGATCACAGCTATGAACAGCTTGATGGTAAGTTTATGAAATCAAGATAATTATTCATTGTACATCCGTAGCAAGAGCAATTCTGATGGGGATTCAAAATGCGTACCTCAGATAAAACTAGTTTATTTACCGGTGAACGATATATGCCAAATGAAATTATAACGTTAAAATAATCGTAACTTAATGAAATGGAAACAGTTTAAACAGATTTGAATATAATTGTTCAATTTAAATCGTAAGCACAACCGAAATTTTAATACTTTAGGAAAGCAACATGAATTTGAGCATTATGAAATGGCAGATTTATGGCATCTACCTTATCAATATTTTTTTGACTAAGAACGGCTTAACGGTGTTTCGTCTTCAATTAACCAAAACATGTTGCTAAATATTATATATATAAATTTTGAAGGTTCTAAATTTTGGTAATTAAAATTTTTTAACTTTTCAAAACAAGATAAATAAATTCTGTATATTAATATATGTCTTTTTGAATAAATTATATATACCAAAATCTATTCAATATAAATAATTTGTAATGATTAAACATTAAATGAAATATGTATATACAAAACTAAAATCTGGTATTAAAAAGGGGAGCTAACACCCCATTTAAGTTATCTTAAACTTATGTTAACTTGTCAAATGTCTAATTATAGATGCGAACCGTGTGGATATAATCATTTCCAGCTATTATAGAATAAAAAAGACAAAATACTAAACTATTTTTATGAAATATCGTTGATTCATTGTCAAAACGTAAAACAGACAGTCGTTTTAATAGAAATGGGTTAAGCTAGAGAATTGATAAGAAGTAGTGGATTCGGAAACGATAATCAACTTGCGACTAAAGTCGCTCGTTGATTATCGTTTACGAATCCACTACTTCTTATCAATTCTCTACTACGGAAATCATGCAAGCTTTCCACTTCATTATTTAATCGCTCTACTTGTATATTTAACTGATCAATGTAGGCTTCTTTCTCTTGCAAAACATCATTCAGAAGAACAGCATCCTCAGTCTGTAAGAAAATGAACATACATGTAATTATCAAAAGAAGAAAAGATATTAATGGAAAATTGAAAATTTCTATTGTGTTAAAATACTTTTGTTAAAAAAAAATGGAAAATAATACACTAATCTTGTAATGGTATGTAACTGCATTTTAAATTTTTATACTTCCTGATGCAATAAAAATCAAAAATATTGTACATTATCTCTGTTATGTTGTGATACTGGATGTTTTGAACAAGAGTAAGGTAGGGACTGTACACAACAGAAATTTTCCCTGACATTTATATAAATTTCATAATATTCAAGTTTATAACACGTTTTCCTGCCTTACATCTAAGGATACAGGGGCATCATCAATACACATATAAAATTGAGAATGGAAATGGGGAATGTGTCAAAGAGACAACAACCCGACCATAGAGCAGACAACAGCCGAAGGCCACCAATGGGTATTCAATGCAGCGAGAAACTCCCGCACCCGGAGGCGTCCTTCAGCTGGCCCCTAAACAAATATGTATACTAGTTCAGTGATAATGGACGTCATACTAAACTCCAAATTATACACAAGAAACTAAAATTAAAAATGATACAAGACTAACAAAGGCCAAAGGCTCCTGACTTGGGACAGGCGCAAAAATGCGGCGGGGTCATGTTTTTTTATATCTCAACCCTCCCCCTATACCTCTAGCCAATGTAGAAAAACAAACGTACAAAGTACGCACAGTAAAACTCGGTTTAAGAGAAGTCCGAGTCCGATGTCAGAATAGGAAACAAAAGAAAATAAACAAAATGACAATAATACATAAATAACAACAGACTACTAGCAGTTACTGACATGCCAGCTCCAGACCTCAATTAAACTGATTGAAAGATTATGTCTTCATCATATGAATATCAGGCACAATCCCTCCTGTTAGGGGTTTAGTATTATACCATCATAAAATATATGAGAAGAACATAACCCGTGTCATGCCAACAACTGGTTTTAGAATAAATATGTTTAATTCCGATGCAAAGACCCTATAAGTGAATCAATATTAAAGCCAAAATATGCAATCTTTAATGACCTGACAACAGTATCGTAACTATATCCCTTCTTAATAAGTCTGTTTAAAGGTGTTGTTAGCTTTTGAGGTTAATACTGACTCTTTTGTGCTTTGCAAAGAATATTACCATTAAAGATTGGATTTGAAATACCCGAACGTATAAGATGTCTGCATGTTGAGTTATATTTACGAATGATGTCCTTATACCGATGATAAAATTTAGTAAATGTTTTGACTAGTTTATGATATCGAAAACCCTGGTGTAATAATTTTTCAGTAATACATAAATTTCTCTCGCTAAAATCTAATAAGTTGTTACATACACGAGCAAATATATGTATACCTTTGGTGGAGGTTCTACTTTGATTTCTAGCTCTGTTTTTAGATTTGTTATTTGTTCCTCCCTCTGTGTAAGACTACTCTTCAGCTGTTCTACTTCCTGTTGCAGCAGATTACCAATCTGATCAATTTGATTGGCTACAGAATCATCTATCTCCTGCTGAAGACTTGTCTGTTAAATACAGATACATAGTTACATAATGATACATAGTTACATAATGATACATAGTTACATAATGATACATTGCTAAACTTAGTTAACCCAATACACCACACCTAGTCTGTTTAAAGAGTTTTCTAAAGCTCATGTTTATTGATAAATGTACATATGTGCCAAATTAACCTGCATACTTACTTACTTACATCTCTTGTTATTCATACTTAATTCATGTATTAGTTTCATAAGAAGTATATTTCATTGCATGCACATCCCATTTTAAATTATCAGTCGGATCAACCACTTCATATTCTTGTCCAATTCAAGTTAGTATATGGTAAGTGCTAGTCTAAATCAAAGCATCAGCGATGCTGCAGGCCAGCCAATCTAATCTAATCACAAAAATAAATCGGCATATAAGCAAACATTTAAACTACAATTAATTTGAAAATATGTGATAAATAAATTGCTTCGCCGAACACAGCTGAATATTACCGCAGAGGTCCAACCCTGAACAGTTGGGGCAAAAATGGACACAATATTCACACTTGATACAGGTCTGAATTTGGATTGTAATTAAATATTTGACACATAATAGGTTTCTGACACAGAATAACTGTAGTCAAAGAACTTAGAATTGGTTATATGATTTGAATTTATATTCAATTTTTTGCTTTTGTGGAATACACTATGCTGTTGCAAATTGACCCCTCCCCCCCCCCCCCCCCCCCCCCAAAAAAAAAAAAAAAAAAAATTGAAGAAATTTTCATTTTCTTTTTAATTTCTGAAATCTGAAAAGAGAAAAAAAATTGTTCCTCCCTTCACAATTTCTTTTTTAACCCCTCCCCCCCTTTTTCCAAAAAAAATGCTTTCCCTCAAGATATGGTCATATTAATCTCAATTCAAATTTCCAATGAAGTTTGAAACCATAATTACCCATTTAGATACATCATAAAAGTCTTAAAATAGAAAATGACACACATAATCATGGCTTAAATTAATATTCCTTAATCAGCATTTTTAAATAGTAACTTCTAAAAATAAATTAACAGCTAATCACCTCAAGACAATACAACATTTCTTTATACATAATTTAAAAGCAGTGTAAGGGAGGTAATCAAAACATTGTACTTTTTTCTAATTGTCCATTAACCAGGAAACCCTTGTTTTCCCCCCTTTTTTGCCCCTAATTCCTAAACGGTTTGAGCCATAACCCCCCAATTGAAAGCCAATCCTAACCATCCATTTGTGGTATAATTTCAGAGAGATCCTTACACCGTTCCACAAGTTATTGTCTGGAAACTAGAAAAATGCTTATTTGGGCCCCTAATTCCTAAACTGTTAGGACTATAACCCCCAAAATCAATCCCCACCTTCCTTTTTTGGTTATAAACATTGTGTTTAAATTTCATAGCTTTCTATTTACATTTACTAAAGTTATTGTCCGGAAACCAAATGTCTTCAGACGACGCTGACGACGACTTGATACCAATATACGACCGTAAAATTTTTTGCGGTCGTATAAAAACTTGTCGTCTTTTCATCTATTTTCTAAAAGGGGATGTTCTTCCTTTCATGAACTGGTAGTTAACATGCAATATTGACTACAGAGAGAAGCATACAATTATCTTAAGGCATTATTAATTTGTATTGACTTCAATACAGAGAGAAGCATACAATTATCATAGGGCATTATTAATTTGTATTGACTTCAATACAGAGAGAAGCATACAATTATCTTAGGGCATTATTAATTTGTATTGACTTCAATACAGAGAGAAGCATACAATTATCTTAGGGCATTATTAATTTGTATTGACTTCAATACAGAGAGAAGCATACAATTATCTTAGGGCATTATTAATTTGTATTGACTTCAATACAGAGAGAAGCATACAATTATCTTAGGGCATTATTAATTTGTATTGACTTCAATAGTTTATGTATGTATCATAATGTATACCTATTAAGATTTTTCAACTCCCAGAATTTTAAGAAATGTACATCATATGTTCAAATAATGAGAGTGCACATGCTGAAATATCTCATCTGCATAACAGTTTATAATTGAATTTTATGTTTAAAGTCTAAGTACAAGGTTTTAATACAGGTATAACAATCTCAGAAAAGTGTGACGAAAATATTTTTTGGGAAAAAGGGACGGACAATGGCAATACAGAGGAAATACTGCATAGAAAAATGCAATCAAAATTGAAAATAAAAGTTTTCTTTTATTTGTTGCTTACTCAACTATATTTTTAGAAATGATAAAAACATTACAAAAACTACATTACCTTGTATGCCATTCAGAGTTTTACATAATTGATAAAACCATAGAAATAATTGTACAAATATAAGAGCAAAGTTTAAATATAAATATACAGACCTTTTCTGCAAATGAAGCACTGACTCCTGGCATTTCCGAGTCAGTAAAAGAACCATCTGAGGTGTGAGAGGCTCTGATAAAATCAAAGTTCTTTCTATCTAGTTCCCCTTGTAATCTTTCTACTTGATCACGCTGAAAATAAAAACAATTTAATAAATCTAAGTGTGAAAAAAGTAATGAATTGAAGTGCAATTTGGTCATCTTATATCTGTGATATACATTCTAAAAAAATCATTATTCATAGTATAACTTATCAAAGAATTCAAATATAAAAAAATATTCAACATGTGACCGAACAACACATTAATTTATGAATGCACGTAGGGCATGAGTTAATTATCAGTGTTGTTGGTCACGAGTTGAATATTTTTTTTATATTTGACATCTTCGATTAGTAATATTTTTATTTATATTGACCATGGGCTCTTTTAGTTTTACTTTTTATTTACATTGACCATGGGCTTTTTTAGTTATTCTATTTATTTACATTGACCATGGGCTTTTTAATGAAAATAAAGTATAAAATATAAGGAACTATTTTTTTCTATAATTCCCTATTCTTTTTGAAATAACATATTCGACAATGTCTTGACAACACCCATTGTTGAACGAGGAGTGAAATTAGTAGTTTTTATTTTTACTGTAAAATCACAGAATTTCATTGCAAGCAATGTAATAAATGTAAATAATATAATTGAAATGTTAAAACATAATTCACAATTTATCGTAAATTCTATCCTCAATGAATAATATTTACCAAATTGACAATTTCCTCTCCAGAACTAAGTTTATTCAATTCCTCTTATAATTGATGAACTTGATCATTCAGATGGTCAATTTCATGGTTTTTCTCGTCAATGAGAATTTGTGTGAAGGGAGATACTTCTGAAGGAAACTGACTCTGTAAAGATTTTACTTTCTCCTGCAAAAAACAAAAACAATCATTCAAACAAAAAAACTCTCACACAAAATGTCATGTTTCTAAGAACTTCACAAATAGCCAATAAGACAGAATCTGAAGGCAAATCTACGGAACTGTTACATTATACAGTCAACCCTGTATTAAGCAGTCACTCTTGGGAAGTATCAAAAGTGACCGCTCAAGAGCGGTGACCTTTGAAATGGGTTCCAAAAAATTCTGATTCCGACATCACCCTTTGCTTGGATTGTGTTTAATTGTTTTAGTGTTTTCAATCGGTAGAGTTATCGTACTTGCAAGCAATAAAATAAAAAAATGGTGGATCCCGTCGCTGTAAATTTGAAGAAAATGTTGAAATATGTTAATATTCGTGGGGAAATAAGTCGCTGATACTGTTTACAATGAAAACTGAAAAGAGTGTAACAAGGGGAATTCAAATTTCATCCCCTATAATATTAAAGAACCTTAGTGAGCGCGCTCACATACCCCACGTCCCCACATTGTCACTGGAGAAATAAAATAACAGTAAGAAAAACAAATTGTATAAGAAAAAAAAATTGAATCATAATTTCCTATAGATATGCACATCTACGTAGTATGTCCTTATTATCTACAAAGTTTCATGAAATTCTGTTGTGTGGTTTCGGAGGAGTTACGATGACAAACTGTTGCAGTAGTATATTGAAGCAAATAAGTTCAAAGGGGCATAACTCCTAGAAAAAAAATTGAATCGTAATTTCCTGTCGATATGCACATCTGCATAGTATGTCCTTATTATCTAAAAATGTTTCATGAAATTCTGTTGTGTGGTTTCAGAGGAGTTGCGATGACAAACTGTTGCAGTAGTATAATGAAGAAAATAAGTTCAAAGGGGCGTAACTCCTAGAAAAAAAAATTGATTCGTAATTTCCTGTCGATATGCACATCTGCATAGTACACAATGTATGTCCTTATTATCTAAAAAGGTTTCATGAAATTCTGTTGTCTGGTTTCAGAGGAGTTGCGATGACAAACTGTTGCAGTAGTATATTGAAGCAAATAAGTTCAAAGGGGCGCAACTCCTAGAAAAAAAATTGAATCGTAATTTCCTGTCGATATGCACATCTACGTAGTATGTCCTTATTATCTGAAAAGGTTTCATGAAATTCTGTTGTGTGGTTTAAGAGGAGTTGCGATGACAGGAAACAGGACTGATGGACTGACGGACAGACGGACGGACGGGTCAAAAACATTATACCCTCCGCAACTCGTTGCGTGGGGTATAATAAAGCGAATATTGAACTAGATAACAATTTGGATACTGATAGATCAAATTATTTCTTGAATAAAACAATAACAAGAGACGAGGTTATCAAAGGTATTCAAAGTGTTAAAAATGATAAGTCACCTGGTGACGACTTGATAATAAATGAATATATTTTATCATCTTCTGAATTGATGTTAGATATATGTGTATATATGTTCAATTTAATTTTCGATACAGGTTTCTTACCTGAAATATGGCTTTTAGGAAATGTTATTCCAGTGTTTAAAAACAAAGGTAGTAAAAGGGAACCGAAAAACTATCGGCCAATTATATAAACGTTACTATCCAGTTTAGGTAAAATATTTACTTCCATTTTAAGCAATAGACCTTGTGATTATTTAGATGAGTTTTTAATTTTACAAGAAAATCAAGCAGGATTTAGACCAGGATACAACACAAATGATCATATTTTTGCTCTTTATGCCTTTTTTTTTTAACTCTTGAAATTAAAGAAGAAAACGTTTTATTGTGCGTTTATTGATTTTCAGAGAGCTTTTGATTCTATTCAAAGAAATCTCCTTTTATTTAAACTTTTGAACAATAATATCAACGGAAAGTTTTTCCGAGTTATACAAAATATGTATAAAGATATAGAATCCCGTGTTGTCTTCAATACTGAGAAATCTGATTTCTTCCCTTGTGAAATTGGTGTACGACAAGGTGAAAATTTATCTCCTGCTTTGTTTTCTGTATATCTGAATGATTTACAAGCATTTTTAGAAGAGTTAGATACAAAAGGTTTACAGTCAATAAGTGCAGACCTAGAAAATGAACTAGATGTGTATCTGAACAATTTTTTTATTGTTATATGCTGATGACACTGTTTTATTAGCGGATAGTAACACTGAATTACAAAATATGTTAAACAAATTTGCCATATATTGTAACAAATGGCAACTTCAGGTAAATGTTGATAAAACAAAAGTTTTTGCTAATGGTAGAATTCCACAAAATTTGAATTTCTCTATTAGTGATACTGAAATTGAGATTGTTAAAAATTAAAAATATTTAGGAATATTTTTTTCAAAAAGTGGTTCATTTTTACAAACTAGAAAATATTTAAGAGACCAAGGGATGAAGGCTATGTATTCTATCTGGAAGAAGAGTAGAATTAATAATTTATCTTTTGAATGTTAACTAGATCTCTTTGATAAGGCTGTTGTACCTATTTTGTTATATGGGTCAGAGATTTGGGGTTTTGAAAACTTTGACTTATTAGAGCGGGTGCACCTAAAATTTTGCAAACTCATTTTACATTTAAAGCAATCAACCCCACCAGACTGTATAGTTTATGCTGAACTAGGCAGATTCCCAATACTTCTTTATGCAAAAGTTCGTATGATAAATTTTTGGGGCAGAATTATAAACGGTAAAGAGTGTAAAACTTCTCATGTTCTTTATAAATTATTACTTATAAATTTAAATAACTATGGTTTTGAAAGTAAATGGTTGATTTATATAAAAAATGTTTTAGATAATTGTGGAATGTCTAATATTTGGAATATGCAGTTTGCTGACAAATGGGTATCAAAAAGTGTGGAACAAAAAATTAAAGATCAGTTCACACAATTTTGTTTGTCACAGATAGGTAGCTTACCTAAATGCCTATGTTATAGAATTTTTAAGACTAATTTGAAATTTGAGAATTATCTCAACATATTGCCTAATTATTCATTATTTGTATACTGCAAATTTAGATGTGGAAGTCACCGGTTAAGATGGCGAGGCTTGTCACGAAACGACAGACTTTGTCATCTCTGCGATTCAAGTGGTATTGGTGACGAATATCATTACATCGTGACTTGTAAATCTTTGGATGTAGAGAAAAAGAAATTTTTACCTGAATATTGCTGTAAAAAATCCAAATACATACAAATTTAATGGTTTATTTAATTCAGACAATACTATCATTTTAGAAAAATTATGTAAGTTTCTAAAAAAATATATTTTTTATAAAAATAATACAGGTGAAAGTCAGTCCTCCAAGTTAAGTGACGTTTGTTCACACATGTGCATGCTTATATATATATACATATATGTAATTGTAGATATATATTTTCTCTGTAACTATGACATGTACTTTTGTGAGAATAAAGTTCATTCATTAATGCTGAATGATTACATTAAATTTATATACAACGATTACAATAATTCAATGAACAATTAGAAAGAAAGAAAAAAAAGAAAAAAAAAAGAAAGAAAAAAAAACAATAAAAAATAATCAAAACCAGTAATAAAACTAGCTGAATTGAATATATTAAGTACAGTAACCCAGTTTCATAAAACTGACAAGATTCTTCTAACTGTAATTGTAATTAAGGATTACTGTAATTTTATATGAAAAAATATATATCAATTGCCTATCTTACTTGTAGGAATTCCTGTCTTTTTTCGAATATGAGTGATTGAAAACAGTGGCATCAACACTTGCATAACTTCGTGACTATCTACACCAAATTTATAATCGTACATGTAGAAGGGTCTTGATGGGGGTCTTGAATTTCTGTATTCTATAGATTTTAAGAGATTTTCTTAATCTTCAAAAATAACGCTTAATCTGTAAAACTCTTATGAAAATGATTGTACTATTAAATTTTCATGTAATTTGTTGATTTCTGTATTATGTTCATCATTTATTTCTGTAATCAGTTTCGTATTTCCATATTATTTTATTTTCCACATTTATTCTTTTATACTTTTGCTCCCCATTATTCTCTATTATTTATACTTTTACTCCCCATTATTCTCTATTCTTTATACTTTTACTCCCCATTATTCTCTATTCTTTATACTTTTACTCCCCATTATTCTCTATTCTTTATACTTTTGCACCCCATTATTCTCTATTCTTTATACTTTTGCTCCCCATTATTCTCTATTCTTTATACTTTTGCTCCCCATTATTCTCTATTCTTTATACTTTTGCTCCCCATTATTCTCTATTCTTTATACTTTTGCACCCCATTATTCTCTATTCTTTATACTTTTGCACCCCATTATTCTGTTATACTTTTGCACCCCATTATTCTCTATTCTTTATACTTTTGCACCCCATTATTCTCTATTCTTTATACTTTTGCACCCCATTATTCTCTATTCTTTATACTTTTGCACCCCATTATTCTCTATTCTTTATACTTTTGCTTCCCATTATTCTCTATTCTTTATACTTTTGCACCCCATTATTCTCTATTCTTTATACTTTTGCTCCCCATTATTCTCTATTCTTTATACTTTTGCTCCACATTATTCTCTATTTTATACTTTTGCACCCCATTATTCTCTATTCTTTATACTTTTGCACCCCATTATTCTCTATTCTTTATACTTTTGCTCCACATTATTCTCTATTTTATACTTTTGCACCCCATTATTCTCTATTCTTTATACTTTTGCACCCCATTATTCTCTATTCTTTATACTTTTGCTCCACATTATTCTCTATTTTATACTTTTGCACCCCATTATTCTCTATTCTTTATACTTTTGCTCCACATTATTCTCTATTTTATACTTTTGCACCCCATTATTCTCTATTCTTTATACTTTTGCTCCACATTATTCTCTATTTTATACTTTTGCACCCCATTATTCTCTATTCTTTATACTTTTGCTCCACATTATTCTCTATTTTATACTTTTGCACCCCATTATTCTCTATTCTTTATACTTTTGCTCCACATTATTCTCTA